AAATAAATCTGTTCTTTTTTTCTTATAAAAGTCTAAATAAAACAAAAATATTGGTGGTAATCTTTGACTGTAACTTTACAAACGGCAGCCCATATTTAACCTGCTAATAACATGAAGTTAGTTTTGTGTCTAAACTGCAAACAGAAGAGGTTTCTCTTTATGTTTATAATTTTATTGTAAATAAATTTTAGATAAAACTAATTGTGCTCACTATTCAGACTTGGAGGAAAAAAGTCTGTCAGTATTTGAAATCAAATTAGTTTGTCTAACTTAAAATGCCTGTGACATAACTTTTTTGTAATAATTATGAATGCATTTTGGAACAGTAGGTCTAATAGCATTTTGCAAAGAAAAATAAATAAAAAAAATCACACCAGTTAAGATATTTGCATGTGAAGGAACAGGAAGTGATGTCAAAGAGGAATGTCTGCATGTGAACATAGCATTGCTATGACACAGACTGTAGAAAAAAACTAGTCACTATYAAAGTGATGAAGAGTCAAAGTTCAAATAATAATAACAAAAAGCATTTCCTCTTTGATGTCACTTCCTCTTTTTTATCTGAGTCAAGTTAAAAAAATATACCAGTTATGTGGTAAAATGGTTCAAATCACATCTATTATACCAACATTTTAGATATAAAAGATGTTATTTATTTTGTATTTGAAGGATATGTATGTCACAGGCACTTTACAACAATCTTTATTTAGCTGAATTCTGACCTTGGTTTCACATTTTAATCATATAAAACTTAATAGAAGAAGGAAAGAATTACACATTAAAGACACAAAAGTGACTCCATACATTCTGAAGACAAATGCTACATTTAAAGAACACCTTTCCAATCTTCACATTTGATATTTTAACTTTTACATTTCAAATTTCTTGATTAAATTCACCTACAAGAAACACTTTGCTCATATTTCATGACATAAGCGTCAGGAAAAAAAATAACACTACTCCTAAATATTGGACCACAAATTTACAGTTTTAAAAATAAGATTGTCACATTAAAATAAAATGCTTCTAAAATCATATATTGCTCAACGATGTATGAAAATAAATATCCGGCCATGTGCAGCCATTTAAAAAAATAAACTAATAGAAGCAATGTGAAGCAAATGATTGGTTGTGTTTTTGGTAAAAGACTGTTTGATGATGCAGAGAGGCTCCAACTTTTTACAGTTTTGGTTGTTTTGTGTTTTTTGTTTTAAAAGTAACACTTTTATGGTCATTGATGCCAATAAACCACCTTAAAGCCCTTGAATCACATTTTAACATTTTTTAACCACAAAGGCTTTAATAACAAAACGCATATTGTTTTTTTTTTTTAAATAAAAACATTGGTTTTGCTGGATGTCTGTGATCCAACCGGCTCCCCGCTCCTGCATCACCTCTGACCCCAACAATCCTAACTTCTTATTGCTTTAGCGCAGTAACACACAGACATAAAACAAGCAATAATTCACAGTTAGACTCCACAGTAAGAGTCTAAATGTTTAAAAGAAAAAAGTTTCACTGCCAAATGTTTCTGTTCCCTCTTTATTTAATGTGGCGAGAGATGTTTGCTGGTGTTTTCAGGACGAGTCACAAATTCTTTGGAGTTTCATTCTTGTAGCCCAGATGTTGGAGCAAGCAGGAATTATTTAGTGTTCTGTCCCGTCTCACACATACTGTCCAAACAAACTGACACAAACTGAAGCACACACATACGCACGTCACACATTCATTTCTCAATGCAGAACAGAGTTGGCACAAGTTTTCTAAATAAATAMCCTGGAAGATTGGCACTATGCAAAAGAAAAAAATCACATTATCTAAATAAATCTTAAAACTATTGAATAATTTCAGTCTACTCCGTGGATGTGGTGCCGTTTGTAAAGTTACACAGTCAAAAATTACCACCAATATTTTTGTTTTATTTAGACTTTTATAAGAAAAAAAGAACAGATTTATTTTTCAGTTTTTCACCATATGATTCATACATTTATAAATGTCATAGTTTATAAACTAAATATTTAACTTACAAATTAAATATTTAGTTAACAAGCTAAATATTTAACTTGTGACTTAAATATTTAGTTTTGAGCTAAATATTTAGCTTGAAACTTAAATATTTAGCTAGCAAGTTAAATATTTAGCTAGCCACCTAAATATTTAACAAATATTTAGGTAGCTAGCTAAATATTTAAATTTCAAGTTAAATATTTAGCTCAAAACTAAATATTTAAGCAAGTTAAATATTTAGTTTATAAACTGACATTTTTAAATGTATGAATCATATGGTGAAAAACTGACTTTGAAAAATTAATCMGTTTTTTTTTCTTATAAAAGGCTAAATAAAACAAAAATATTGGTAATTTTTGACTGTGTAACTTTACAAATGGCACCACATATCCATGTTTATTACTTATATACTATATGCTGATGAAGGTCAAAGCAGTGTCTTAATCCTCTGAATGACTTCACTACCAATAAAACAATATAGCTCCTATTCAGATAGATTTTCTTTTTTGCAAACACATCAGAAATKAAGTATCTAACATCTGTCGGACTAGTGCTTTTATCTGCTATGCATCTCTTTATAGTGCYGTTTTTTAAAATGAGTTCAGGCAACATTTGAAACCTTCCCATTYCCCCTCCCTTTCTGTCGGGTCAGATTACCTCACAGGTGTCCCTCCAGGATGCTGGTGACAGCCTGGTCCAGTGCAGGGCCTGAAGGTGCCCTGGTCGGGGCGACAGAGGTGCCCTGCAGGCGCTGCAGTTCCAGTATGCTGTTGATGGCGCTCTGCAGATGTTCACTAAGCATGTTGTCTTTCTGAAGAGGCGGTGTCGTAGGGCTGAACTGCTGCTCTGGCTGAGGAGACGGGTCCAGCCTGTAGCATTTTAGTTTTGGGGCACTGACATCTCTGGGAGGCAGGTCAAAGCAGATGTCCTGTGCCTCCAGCATAGGAAGGGGAGTGGGAGGTTTTATTTTGGGATTGGGCGTCGTCCGTTGAACCTGTTCCACAACGTTCTTGGTAAGAGCTCCGTTGGACATCTCATCATGCTGAGGATGCTGGGAAGTTCCATTGGTTGCCTGAGGAGGGCATTGGTTCAAGCCCCCACCACCATTGGTCAGCTGCCCTGCGTGGTCYCTCTTCAGGCCAGGGTCACGTGCTGAGTTCTGGATCACTTTACGAGAGCCAGATTCATGCTTGATGGTGAGTCTAAGAGCCCCACGGGAGCTGGAATGGTATGTTTTGAGTCCTGGGGGCCGCTCTGACAACTGGGCCCAAGCTGGTGGGGAAGAGGGGCTGCTTGAGGAGTCGAAATGTGGGGGGGCATAGGTCTCGTGAGGGGAAGACGCTGACATCGCCAAAGCTGTTAGAAACGTTTCTGAAAGGAAGAGGAGCTAAATTCAGGAACATTTATTATTATATATGGGACAAGATMACAAGTCTGTTACCTCAGACCGAGCTTTAAAATAAACATTTCTGTATCTTACAGGGTTTTTTCTTTTGTTTTGAAAGCATCTTAAAATTATGGTATTAATCTGTTTAATTGCTTTGATTACAGGCCAAATTAGAGTCAGCCTGCCACCTTCTCTGAAACCTCTAAAGTCCACATTGGTCCTGCTCACTATCTTACATTTAACTCAGTTCCATTATTATACAGTTGTTATAATAAATAGTGTATTCCAAATGATGTTTCATAAGTTATCAATCTACAGAAACCAGTCATGAATCACGTTTAGGTAGAAAAATGTTTGTATTTATTTATTCAACCTATTTGATTCATAAATCTTCAGTAAAAATCWTGTCATTTGACCAAAACTTAATTAAAATTTGTTTCCATGATTTTCAAGACAAGCAGTAACTGAAAACTGTTTGAAACCTTGAACACAATCAGATTCCTGCTGTTTGACAAAAGCAGCTGCTTAAGAAGAAACGGTGGATAATGAAACACAGCAAAATATATACAGCGGGTAAAATAAGTCTTGAACACGTCACCATTTTTCTCAGTAAATATATTACTAGAGGTGCTAA